ATTATCTAATCAACCAATCACATGGCAGTTGCTTCAATGCATTTAGGGGTGTGGTCCTGGTCAAGACAATCTCCTGAACTCCAAACTGAATGTCAGAATGGGAAAGAAAGGTGATTTAAGCAATTTTGAGCCTGGCTTGGTTGTTGGTGCCAGACGGGCCGGCCTGAGTATTTCACAATCTGCTCAGTTACTGAGATTTTCACGCACAACCATTTCTAGGGTTTACAAAGAATGGTGTGAAAAGGGAAAAACATCCAGAATGCGGCAGTCATGTGGGCGAAAATGCCTTGTTGATGCTAGAGGTCAGAGGAGAATGGGCCGACTGATTCAAGCTGATAGAAGAGCAACTTTGACTGAAATAACCACTCGTTACAACCGAGGTATGCAGCAAAGGATTTGTGAAGCCACAACACGCACAACCTTGAGGTGGATGGGCTACAACAGCAGAAGACCCCACCGGGTACCACTCATCTCCACTACAAATAGAAGAGCTCACCAAAATTGAACAGTTGAAGACTGGAAAAATGTTGCCTGGTCTGATGAGTCTCGATTTCTGTTGAGACATTCAGATGGTAGAGTCAGAATTTGGCGTAAACAGAATGAGAACATGGATCCATCATGCCTTGTTACCACTGTGCAGGCTGGTGGTGGTGGTATAGTGGGGGATGTTTTCTTGGCACACTTTAGGCCCCTTAGTGCCAATTGGGCATCGTTTAAATGCCACGGCAGACCTGAGCATTGTTTCTGACCATCTCCATCCTTTTATGGCCACCATGTACCCATCCTCTGATGGCTACTTCCAGCAGGATAATGCACCATGTCACAAAGCTGGAATCATTTCAAATTGGTTTCTTGAACATGACAATGAGTTCACTCTACTAAATTGGCCCCCACAGTCACCAGATCTCAACCCAATAGAACATCTTTGGGATGTGGTGGAACGGGAGCTTCGTGCCCTGGATGTGCATCCCACAAATCTCCATAAATTGCAAGATGCTATCCTATCAATATGGGCCAACATTTCTAAAGAATGCTTTCAGCACCTTGTTGAATCAATGCCACGTAGAATTAAGGCGGTTCTAAAGGCGAAAGGGGGTCAAACACAGTATTAGTATGGTGTTCCTAATAATCCTTTAGGTGAGTGTATAGCTGTTTGTGAATGTAAAATGTCTGCAAAGTTTTAAACATCAAATTGCCTGACAAATAAAGTTACCTCCTAAAGGAAATAATCGAATCTGAACTGTTGAAATGAGTCGTCAGAAATTCCAGTCTCACTTCCTGTAACGTAACATACCTACGTAACAATGTAACAAATTTGCATAATGCCCACTTATGGTTTTCATTGGCTGCCCCGCGAACAACGTCTTCTTCGCCCCGCCCCCAAACACTGTAGTTGTAGCTGAGGCCTGGAAGAGTTTGGTTGAGAAGATGCTGTTTTCAGTGCTGCGAATCCACTTTGAATGCACTTCAAAAGGATGAGGACTGGCGCTTGAATTGATATGGAAAAAACGACGTCAAACGCTGAGAAAGCCTTCAGAGCAGAAATTCAGATATGTAATAGGTGTTTCATTTCCGACACACGCTGTGAGCGGTAGACTAATCACAACAGACTGGGCCATCTGACCAATGAGAGCATTGTAGGGTTTAGAGAGACTGAATCTTCGAACAAACCATTTTCAGACTCTTTGAGAAATGAGGTGACGTGCAATGTATTTTATGAGAAAATGAAAGTGTTTTTTAGCCTTGGATGCATGTAAACCTATTGTAGGAGACCGCCAAAACAAAATTAGGAACCTTTAAAATAGATTAATACGGGCACTTTAAGACATTCCTCCTTATAGAATTTTTTTTTGGCATAAAATTTAAACGAATATCTATACTGAAACCCATTAAACCCTTTTTTTTCCTATGCAAAAGGACTCAAAATAGCCACGTCCTGCTTGTGTCTGCTTCCAAAAGAGCTAATACACACTGTGCATGTGTGCATGCAACTTATAATTGGAGAGATATTCCTGATGAAGTTCTGTTACAGTCTTCCATTGAGGATAGTGCTGACACTTACAGAGCAGCAGAGTCAGTCCATTATAGACTGGAAGTCATTTGCATGACTCCAAAATAACAGACTAATTGTGCCCTTATCTTCCAGCACCCCGCCTGGCTTGAAACAGGAAGTGATGGAAAATTGCAGAGGTGGAAAAGGACACACAGGTGTGAAATAGAGTTCAGAGTGAGTGTTTTTCTGGTGTCAGAAAATGACAAGTATTGCTGGTCATAACAGTTTGCTTTAGAAGCTTTATCAAATGAAGAATGTGTTTTGTTAAAGAAAGCTTGCTCCCCCTGCTCTATCTGACACTGATGTGACAGTATATTCATCACCTGTATCTTCTTCATCCATCATTCTGACACATAAAGGGCCAAATATATTAAAGGCTGGACATGAATTATTTTATGATGAATTGTTTTTTGGTGCAAAATATTTGATGACCTTCAGCACGTCTGTTTACGTTTTGACATCAAACCCGGAGCAAATTCTGTCATTTCAAATCTCATGTAAAGTGTTATTCTGGCTTTGTCGTGTTTATAGAATGAGCTGATATAGTAGTTATCATTTCGGGACAGAATTGCTAAGACTCCTCTCGCTAAATATATATATATATATATGTGTGTGTGTGTTAGTGCTGTCAAATTTATTTTTTTCAGCTTAACGCCTTAATAATATTTAACAATTAACACATCATTTTTTTTCCATCATCCTTTAGCATTACATTTTATGATCATGCTCTTATTCTTGCAAATGCTAGTTTTAAACCATACAACCGCAATAAGACACAAAAGAAAACGAAGTGCGGTACTGGCGCGCGTCTGTGAATCTCCTGTCGTCTCGACTCGTGTGCACTGAAAGCTGCTTCAGACAGCATTTTTGCCAAAATGCCCGTTTTGTGGAGTATCCTTGCAAGCACAGTCTTGAATGAGTTAAATGAAAGTAAAGAGTTGTGAGAAAATGGGATGCGTGTCAGATCCACGTAATGTGTGGCGGGTCTTAAAGTAACAGCAGCCTAATAAATCTGCTGCTGTTTGTCATTAAGAATTATCAAAGAACAAAAGAAAAAGAGAAAATCACTCACTGCTCTAGACTGATTAACTTATGTAGCTTTAATTTAAGGATTAATTTAGCCTGGTTAAAACCAGACCATTCTCAGTTGTAACTGAGTTATGGTCTGGCAAAGCGCCATAGACCAATCATTTCCAGAGGGGCGTCACCAACGGACGTCGCGGATAGACCTAAAACCAATCAGAGCGATGAAGGAGATGACGTATGCAGAGTGGCGGAGAAACATCTCAGAGTGTTGTTCTTTGCTCGGTTTTTAACAAAAAGGAAACGTTCAAATCGCTTAAAACAGACGCGATAGCTGATTCGAACGAGTGATGTTCGACGGCGGCATCCATCTTTGTAATGTAGGCTACAAAATCTGCTTCAAAATCCCAGCGCTGTCGTCATCGTGTAAAGCCCGCCCCAACGTTTCTGATTGGTGCCTCGATTTCAACGGATTGGAAATGGGCTTGAATGAGCTCTTTGCCAGACTAACTTTCAGAGCAAATCTAAATTTGCCGGAAGTTGTCTGGGTTTTCCCAGGCTAGGATTAATTTCAATTTAATTTATAATTTATGCAATGAAGACTGTGAAGTGTTTGATAACGTTAAATTTCTGTATATATCCTATACTTGTTAGGCCTACCTGAAAACCTTAACGAAAACAAGTTCACTTAAATTAACTTAAATTGTTTTGTATATTTTCTAAAGCCTAATAAATGTTACAAATTTATAGTTTTTAATGAACCTATACTGTAAAGCTGAATGGCTATAATGGCTAAAACTGAGAAGAAAAACAATTTCATAGAGACATCGGTAGCAGTTGGTATCGGTGATACTGGCCTTCTTTCCAAAAAAAGATGCCATTTAAACAAATTTTTAAATATAGGCTATTGTCTTTGTTGTTTCTACATTAATTTGGAGATTTAATGTGAAAAAATATATATTATAATTTTATTATAATATATATATAAAAAATGTTGTTAGGTGTGATTAATCTTGATTAATTACAGAAAAATGTGCGATTATTTGTTTTGTTTTTATCGATTAACAGCTCTAATATATAATATATTACTGTGATTTTGTTAAAGTACAAAAGTACTTTGTGGTTTGCTATTGCTGTGATGTCATGTGAGTGACAGGTTGCCCCGCCCTCACGCCAGTAAACACGTCATCAGAGAAGAGATGTTTCTGCAAGTGGGAGGGGAAGTTACTTTGAATAAAGATTAGGAGGGCGCATACATTTGAAAAATAATAATTACAACAACAATAATGTGCACGGATAAATTATTTATAATAAATAGTAGCCTACTGCAATATTTCATTAAAAAAAATTCGATGCAGAACTGTTCAGAGAAGCATGTTACAAGTGCAGCAAAAAAAAAAAAAGAAGATGTATCCAACACAAGAACACGTGTTCATCCCTCCCCCACCTCCCATCTCCACCCCCCTCTCGGAGAAGTTTTTCTTATTTGTCGGGGCTGGAAATGGAGATGGAGAGCAGGAGACGCGCAGTGCGCAGGAACCGAGAACAGTGAGAGGACGAACAGAATCAGATATCAACGCTTGTCAGCTGAGAGGAACAGCAGAGGCGGTGAGTTAAAACTTGGACAGGATCCTTAGGGTGTCTACCAACTACCATCTTATCAAATTTGTGCGATACACCTGGCGAAACAGGAGGAGTGGATGAAGGTGGATGAGGAAGTGCTAGACTGCGCCAAGCCAATCTGAGATTACAAATTACTCGCATCCATATTTCACCACATTTTACAGCCTCGGCTGAGTGAGTTTTTTTTAGTTATGCGGATTCGGAGAAGACAAGAAGATCTGCATCGCCCCATCCCTGGACAAACGCTCTGTTATTGACAAACTCCTGCGGTGAGCCTTAAAAATAACTTTCTTTTTTTTATTATTATTATTTTTTTTTTTTATGATCTGCTCAGAAATGTGGGAGACTGGTGCATCTGAAGTGTAAAGAAACCCGAAAGCATTTTTGCCAGGAACAAGCACGCAAAGCTTTCTCGTATATCTGGGACAACTTTAAAAAGCGTAAAGGATGTCAGCGCTGCGGAAAAAATTTGGGGATGATTATCAGGTGGTGACCACCTCGTCCAGCGGCGGAGGGTTCAACCAGGCCCCCGAGAAGAAAAGAAAACGTCAGCGCTTTGTGGACAAGAACGGCCGGTGTAACGTCCAGCACGGGAACCTGGGAGGAGAAACCAGCCGGTACCTGTCGGACCTGTTCACCACACTCGTGGACCTCAAATGGCGCTGGAATCTATTCATCTTCATTCTTACCTACACGGTGGCGTGGCTCTTCATGGCTTCTATGTGGTGGGTCATTGCCTTTATACGTGGAGACCTGAACCAGGCCCACGATGACAAGTACACACCGTGCGTGGCCAATGTGTACAACTTTCCCTCCGCTTTTCTGTTCTTCATCGAAACTGAGGCCACTATCGGATACGGTTACCGCTACATTACAGACAAGTGCCCGGAAGGCATCATTCTCTTCCTCTTCCAGTCCATCCTAGGCTCCATAGTGGACGCTTTTCTGATCGGTTGCATGTTCATCAAGATGTCCCAGCCGAAGAAACGCGCGGAGACGCTGATGTTCAGCGAGCACGCGGTTATTTCCATGCGTGACGGCAAACTGACCCTGATGTTCCGAGTGGGTAACCTGCGGAACAGCCATATGGTCTCCGCGCAAATACGCTGCAAACTACTCAAAGTGAGTACACGACTGGAACCAGTTAAAAGGAGAGAGAAAATGACGAATCCAAGTCACATAGAACATATTATGTGCGGGTTACATTACTAGACCATGTTAGAGATGCATAAGTAAACATCAAGGTTAACACGTGGATATGGAACACATGCGTATAATTGAATATTTAAAGTGTTCAAGCTAAGGGTCATTCTTTAACCTCATGCCTAGACAAATTAGAAATACCTGTAATTTGATGTCCACCTACAGAGGACAAAGTATTGATCCGCTCCATCTGACTGGGTGCAACTTTCCCTCTCGAATCACTGTGCACTCTTAAAAACAAAGGTTCTAAAATAGGGGGTTTTCTCAGCAGTGCGGTACAAATAATCATATTTGGTTCCCCGAAGAACCCTTTTTTTCTTCTTAGTGTGAAGAATATTTAATTAATCTAATGAAGCCCTTTCCACTATAAAGAGCTTTTTGTGCAATGGAAAGGTTCCATGGATGTTAAGGCTCTTCATGGTACCGTAGATGCCAATAAAAAGCTTTATTTTTTAGAGTGTGTATTCATTAGACGCAGTCGTTCTCTCCCTCACTCACTCACACACACACACTACATCAGCTTCTTGTTTTATCCTAGGTAGTTATTTTTTGTACCTTTCCCCTTAGTCCCGTCAGACTCCTGAAGGAGAGTTTTTGCCTCTGGATCAACTGGAGCTGGACGTTGGTTTCAGTACCGGAGCCGACCAGCTTTTCTTGGTGTCTCCTCTGACAATCTGCCATGTGATCGACTCCAAGAGCCCATTCTACGACCTTTCGCTCAGGTCCATGCAAACAGAGCAATTTGAGATTGTGGTTATCCTAGAGGGAATCGTGGAGACCACCGGTGAGTTTTAATCGTAACATGCATGAAGCAGCAAATAGGAATTTTTTTTAAAGAAAGAAAAAAAACTGTCAAAAAACAGTATGAATGCTGAAAACTTGATTCAGATTATACACTGTGTGGTTCAAAGTACATTTCCACCATACTGCTTAAATATTTTCACAAATATTAAGCTCATGTTTCTTTTGATTGATTCATGCACACTATTTACAAACCAATGCAATGAACAGAATGCTAAATCAAGTTTCTTTTAATGTCGTGTCATTTTTTTGTGCGTATATTAATAGAATATTTGTGCAGGGTGAAGGTGTTTGGGTGGTGTGGTTCAGTGTGTGTGTGTGTGAGACAGTCTGCAGAAGCAAGTTTGCTGGTGCAAATCGGCATTTTATGATAGAAAAGAATGAATGTTGATGTCTACTGCAGTAAAGATGGAAAGAGAGAGAGAGACGAGTTATATAAGAGATGATACACAAAGTTATTCTTTCGTTTTGCCCTCTGCCTCATGGTTCTGTAGTCTGGCATGCTTCGAGATTAAGCCAGCTGTCAATCAAATTACAGCTCACCTTTACTTTCTCACCCTGCAGCACATCAATCCATACATATACGAGACCGCACGCACTTACAGTAAGAAACAGCATTCGCACAATCAACAACAGAAAATCTCTGCAGCAAACACACTGTATGTGCATACTTAATCATATGCTTCCATAGTCTCATTTAATTAAAATAATAATTCTGTCCGGTCCTCCTCATTGATGGCACATCTGAAAATTACGCCTACAGAAAGTGAAGGGATTTGCGGGTAAAAAAAAAAAAAAAGAAAAGAAAAGGAACAAAAAAATTGTACAGTTAGTCAGCACTCTGTTCTCCCCATTGTGAATCAGTTTCCATAGCAACTAAATCGGCCCCTTCTTAAGCGGTCTCCATACAGTAAAGTCTCACCGGCTGTTTGAAGTATGGAGACAAAACTTGTTTTTATCAGCCTCACAAATCAAATACTAATTACGACTTATCAAATAATTCATTACACATTTTTAATTATGCCCTGTAATTATGTCTAGGTTTATGACGTGCATGTGGGAATACAGCACATATTTGTGTGTGGGTGTTCATGTGTCCTTCCATTCAAATCTTCAGGATTAAAGTCTTTGTTTGGACACTTCTCTGTATATAAAAGCTCATATTTCACGTAGCGGATACAAGGGCTAGTTGTCACAAGGGCTACATCTCAGTAAGTTTCATTGTAAAAACCTAGTATAAAAAAACACCTAGTAAAAAGTAAATCCTACACACATCTTTTTTCAGTGTAATTGTTTTTATTTCATGGCTTCAATCAGCTAATCCAGGCATACTTCAATTTGAATCGTTTTTGTGATTTCTATCTTCAAAACTGAAATATCAATATTGTCACATTTTTGTAATAGCTCTTGGATTAAAAAAAGGACACCATAAATATACACTGGTATGGTCAACTATAGAATCAAAGTAATTTTTTTCATAAACATCGGGTTAGGAGCTTGTCAGTTTTTTTTTAGTTTTTTTTTTATTGGAGCAAGTTGTCAAATGTGCTCCGTTTTAAAATATAATCCTATTATAATTTAATCCGCTGGCCAAAATAATGTTTTGATGGTTTTAGTAGTGTATTACCTTTTATATTTTTGATGTTTCATGAATTGTACCATCTAAACTAAGCTGATAATTCCCCCACACTGTCAGGAAAAATGTGTGACCCGAACTTAAAACACTGTAGTTGTAGCTGAGGCTTGGAAGAGTTTGGTTTGTGTTGTCAACATGCCGAGAAGAAGCTGTTTTCAGAGCTGCGATTCCACTTCGCTACACTTCAAAAGGATGAGGACTGGCACTGGAATTGATATGGAAAACCGATGCCATTGTTCGTGTCACTGTGTATCAAGTGCTGAGGAAGCATCCGGAGCTAAAATTCAGATATGGTATTAGGCGTTTTGTTTCAGACACGCACCGAGGTAGTGGTAGAGGAATCACAACAGACTGGGCCATAATAGTAGGCTCTCAGAAAGGAGAGGTTTAGAGAGACTGAATCTTCGAATTAAGATAATGAGGTAATGTGCACTGTTGGGGAGTAGCTAACTACAAGGAGTGACGCTACTAACATTTTTCAGTTGCTTTAGAGTAGCCCCTATTTTAAAGGTTCCTACTTTCGTTTTGGAGGTCTCCTACAACAGGTTTACATGCATTTAAGGTCAAAAAACACTTTAATTTTCTCATAAAATGAGGACTGGCTAGGAACTATACTCTCATTCCTGCGTAATAATCAAGAAACTTTACTGCCGCACCATGAGAGCAGCAGGCGTAATGATATGACGCAGCGCCTGAAAATAGTTCCGTTGTGTTGATGGAAGGGTGGCCTATTTTCAGGCGCTGCGTCATATCATTACGCCTGCTGCTCTCATGGTACGGCAGTAAAGTTTCTTGATTATTACGCAGGAATGAGAGTATAGTTCCTAGCCATATCAGCCTAGAAAATCGCAACTTTACATTTTCTGTCGGTCTTAGTGCACGATGTAACTACAGAAGAGTCAAGTTTTAAATAGGAAAAATATCGAAAACTCTTTGGTCATTTTTTTTTTGAGAAATGCTAATGGTCTTGTCCACTTCAATGATGTATGCTAAGCTATGCTAAAAGTGGTACCGCCAGAACCGGAGATCGGCTGAATGGATTCAAAAACGGTAAAACTCAACAGTTTAACTCTGGGGGAGTTGTAAAATGAGCCTATTTCCAAAAAAAGTGGAGTATCCCTTTAAGACTGTAACGATGACGTAGATTTTACCATATCAATGGGTTATGCTAATGTGTTATCTAGTGACGCGTAACCGTAACGCAGTGGGATTCGAATTACAACGACTCGTTTCAGAGTCGATTCTTTCTTTTGGGAGACAATAACTGTATTTATCGTGCTCTTTCGACTTAACTTTGTAGAAAGTTTACATTCACAGACAGCTATATTACACACTGCATGAAAGGGAATATTTGAAAAAACCATAATAGGGGGACTTTAAAACAGTGTAGCTTTTCCAGTAGCTAACTACCTTTTCCAGCAAGTAGCAGTGTTTTGCGCGACCAAAAACTACATACCGTTTTGCGCGTTGACAAATCTGTAATGCATTAAAGCAGCGTAGCATCATCATCTTATTAGATCACAAACTAAAATTGCATTACTGCCATCTATTGTTTCATCATATACATCTTGCGGCTTTACAGTTCACAGAGAAAAGATTGACTGGTGATTATGTAAACAGGAGTGGGTTGATATTACACATGAATCGAATCGACTAAGGTTACACTTTTTGTGTGTAATTCATTCATTCTTCAAGCCACTGGTTCAGAGTAGCTTCCTCAACACTGGTAATGTGCAATGAAAAAAAACAAAAAAACATTTTAAGTTTGATCTTGGATGCATGTAAACCTGTTGTAAGAGACTTCCAAAACTCATTTGGGACCCTTTAAAAAACCTTTAAATCTTGTATCTGGAGTAGGAATATGTATCATGAAGTAACTACTATGAACCTTTTAGTGGTAAATAAAGTACAAAGATGTCACTTTGAGGTTACTGTCTCTGAAGGTACAATATTTGCAGATTTCTTTGTACCCCAGCACTGCTTTTAGAGCATGTTGTCACTAAAGGTGTGTTCAATGAACTGTATCTTTCTTCCTTGACAATAACGGTGGAAATAGTGATTTTTTTTTTTGTAGCCAATACAGAAAATGACTTTTAATAAAACTACCCTGAGAAATAAATGAGTAACAAGTGTGACAACTAATCACAGTCCCCTCTATATGACTCTCACAATATGGAAGGAGGAAGATGTAGACATTAATAAATTAATTTCCTTCAAGCAGAGAGGCAGTGACTTCAAGGCCAAGGAGTCTCAGAGGAACAGCTCAGAGACATCCATTGCTCTCGGAGATAAACATGACAGCTGTGCCAGCATTCACATCTGTCAAATTATTTACAGCTTTTCACATTACACTGCAAAAGAAAAAAAGGCACTTTTAAATATAGCAAAAATACTTCTGATGCTACGCAAAAACTGTGCGAATTAAGAAAAAAATAACGTGAACTAACATTAATCTAGCCACTGGAAATATGAATGTTTTTTTGGAATGCCAATAATATTCCAGTTTGTTCAAAAGACAAGAGATGTAAAATCTTGTTTTTTTATTTGACATCAGCATTGTTAGCACTTTATGTTCCACCAGCTGAGCTGTAGAAACACTAATGATATGGTGAATTAAGAACTAGATTTGAGAATAAAGCATTGCTTGATATAAGAACACTACATTAGAGGAGTGAACTGCAAGTTAGACTTAATTTTAAAGCATTTCTATCAAGTGTTCTATTATTATGGTCCATTCATTTTTTTGTGGCAAGATATTTACTTTTAAGAATTCATTTTTGTCCACCACATTAACATTTTTTTAAAGGAACAGTTCACTTAAAAATGAAAATTCTGTCATCATTTACTTAAAAGTTGTTTCAAACCTGTATGAATTTCTTTCTTTGCTGAACACACAGGAAGATATTTTGAAGAATGTTGGTAACCAAACAGTTGATGTATCCCATTGACTTCCATAGTAGGAAAACAAATACTATGGAAGCCAATGGGATACATCAACTGTCTGGTTAATGATTTTTAAACGAACTATTCCTTTAAATCTTGATTTTAGAATTTTTTTAACAAGAATGTTCATATATAACTGTCATATTTCCATCCACCTATTTTATGCGCCTTTTGGGACATCACAGAATACATAGAAAACGCTGGAAGGAAATGCCAAATGCACATCAATTATAAAAATGCGCATAAAAAAATCGAATGAGTCGGATACATTTTTTTTATCCAATAAGAAAACATGCGCTTAAACTACAATGAAAAAACATTTGCCAATTAAATTCCTCGATGCACATGTGACTGCCCAATAACTGGACTGAATAGTGGGCCAATCTCGTTGCACAGCATCTGAA